TACTACTAGGAACAAGAAGTTACTAGGGGCTCCTGGCATCGCTACTATATAGTAGCAAGAATGCTACTAGGGGCTCCTGGCCTTACTACTAGGAACAAGAAGTTACTAGGGACTTCTCGTCTTTCAAGAAGCTACCTGCCGGTGGCCCTCAGGACCAGTGCAACCCAGGTGTTGCTGTCGCCTTCCGGGGCACACGCGGGGTGGACACATACTTCTGTGTTTTGTTTGATTAGAGATAGAACTACCGCGGTATCAGGCCTGAGTACGATGTTGCAGGACTTCTTTTCAATCTATGTCAATCATTACATCAATGCTGGATTCGTTGAAAGCGAGGAGATGGATCTTCTGGAACCCAGAACCGATTTTGAACTGCAAACTTTTGCCCCCCTTTTTGCTACTCACGGTAGCTCACAATATTTTTTCAGTTTGGGTTGCGGTCGAATGACCTGTACTTCGTGGTGTCGTGCATGGCTCTCCTGGCTGCTGCTGTCGATGATATTTTTCCTCTTCGCCATGCACATCGACCTGGAAGTGGATGATTTCACTTTGGAGCTGAGGTTTTTGATTGTGGGTGGTGGTGGTGGAGGACACAATGGAGGTGGCGGAGGTGGTGGCGTGCTACAAGGTCGCATTCGCATGCACAAGGGCTGGGGACAAGAGGGGTACGCCTCTTGGCCAGTGAAAGTGGGAGCCGGAGGCAAGTCTCACCACCAGGGCGAAAGCTCCCTTCTTGGAGGCCTAGAGGCTACAGGTGGGGGTCATGGAGGCGCAAGAGGAGAGCATGGTGCCAATGGTGCAGACAGCAGGAAGAACTGGCTAGAAGCCAAGATCGAAGAGGCTCCGCATCATGGTGGTGGCGGAGGCGGTGGCGGTGATAGTGGTGGGAATGCCGGCTACGGCGAGGCTTGCACCATCACAGGTACCCAAAGATGGTACGGCGGAGGAGGCGGAGGAGCACCCGGAGGTGGTGGAGGAGGTGGTGGTGGTCCCAGCGGCGGTGGTGGTGGAGGTGGTGGTGCAGGCAAGACTTCAAGTTGGTTACCTGGCACTGGTGGCAAGGGAGGTGGAGGTGATGGCTCCGACCGTGTTCAGGGTTGTGATGGTGAGCCGAACACCGGTGGAGGAGGAGGAGGCAGCGATAGGGGAGGAGGGCATGGTGGTTCTGGAATCGTGATTGTGAGCTACAAGAGCAATGCTCCTGTGCTGAAAGGCGGTGATGTCTCAGTGGTGAATGGACACCAGATCCATTCCTTCACCACTCCCGGGGTTTCGAAACTTGAGTGGCAGAGATGTTCAGAAGGAACAAAGGCATCAAGATCAGCCTGAGCCGCGGCGTGCTGGCGGCGCGCTTGGAATCCATTTGCCACACCCATTTTCAGACTCGCTAGCGCCGCCGGTTGTTGATTTCGGCTTTAGTTTATAACTTTAGCAGAAGAAATGTGAGTCCCCACTGTGCTGGCCACAACTTCCCAGGACTTCCTTTCAATCTATGTCAATCTACGTCAATCATTACATCAATGCTGGATTCGTTGAAAGCGAGGAGATGGATCTTCTGGAACCCAGAACCGATTTTGAACTGCAAACTTTTGCACCCCTTTTTGCTACTCACGGTAGCTCACAATATTTCTTCAGTTTGGGTTGTGGTCGAATGACCTGCACTTCGTGGTGTCGTGCATGGCTCCCCTGGCTGCTGCTGTCGGTGATATTTTTCCTCATCGCCGTGGACATCGACCCGGAAGTGGACGATGACTTTCACCTCCCGGGAAGGAGCAGCTATGATGCCAGGAAGAATAGGGAGCAGATGGGACGGTCTGATCCAATGATTTCTTTGGTTGTTTTAGGCAACCAGTGCAGAAAACCGACGGATTTGTCGAGTTCTGGGAATTCAGGTCTGTAGTTTACAATGGCCACCTGGTTGCTGTTTCTAATGGTCCCATTTGCAACACCGCTCTATCCACCTGATGTCAGGAGGCTCGTGCTCCACTCGAATCTCAGCACCATCGGTCTTAGCTTGGCCATCGAAGGCTCGAATTGGTGGAGCAGCTGTGGCGACCATATGTATCTTGGTCCACAGCTTTTTGTTGGTAAGTTTCAGGATGGTGTGTGCTTTTTTACGGTATTTGTAGGGCATTAATGGGCATTATATAATGTTCCATGCAAGTTGGTTGTTGTGTTTGGGCTTGTGCTACTTGTGGGAATGTGATCATACTTGTTTGCAATTTTGTTTGTATTTGCATGTGTTGCTTATGTTTTTCGCGGCCTTATTTACAAGTCTTGAATCTGTCCGGGTCTCGTGGTGTGTGTAGGTGTTTGGCGGTACAAGCTTCGACTGCGTTGGCATGCATAAATGGACAGCCAGCTTTCCCCCAGGAGTTGGTTTGGTTTTCAGCTCCACAAAAGTCCATGCCAAGTCCGTTCCCAGCCCTCCGAAGAAGGCATTGTTTCCTTGATCACTCAGTCATGTCGTCAAGATTCTCATGACCGAAGTAGAAAAGCGATTTGTTATGATGTGTTTTTGCAGGTGAAACATGAGAAGTTTCAACCTGCTCAAGCCAACGGGAATCAAAGAGATGGGCATACCTCAGGTAGCAGATGGGCTATTAATCTCATATAATTATTAATTTGTCATTAATATGTCAACATCAAAGTATAGATGGGTTCACGAATATCCCATTCATGTAAAAGTCATGTTAATGGATCCCTCAGCTGTTTTCATTTACACTTTTGTTATCTCATGAAGGAGTTCAAAGTTCACAGTGTGGAAGATGTGACCGATCACTGACTTGGGTGGCACAAACCTGAAACCATGAGTTTGTTTTTTCTTACAACATCCTGCAACCTGTTTGCCTGTGAACGGAGCGATGAAAGAAGCCTGTGCGCTGTGGGGATTTGCATCCGAGCGTGGATCGACTGGTCTAAGGCATGCCTGCAGTGGCTCTTGGCTACCAGAGGAGAAGAAGTATTGCTGCTGCGACGCGGGCTATATGTGGCTGGGATTGAAGTGCCATGGAATGGTGGGTCTCTACGTTCCTTTTCAACACAGATCTGTGCTTTTGCCTCTACAGCGGAGCTTTCGCATTCCCAAACAAGAGACAATCGAAAACAGGTCGGAAGAATTGGATTAGAACTTGAGCCAAAGCATGACATTCTCATCACCTTGATCGACAGTTCGTCAAGTCCCATCCAGCCAGCCATGAAATATCGTCTCAAAATGCTCCAAGTCGGATGCAGGCCATCGCTACTAGGTTGGAGGCCATCGCTAATAGAAACAAAGGAAAAAGAAAGAAAGAAAGGTTGGATATGGTAGTAACAAGAAGCTACGAACAAGTGCATCGCTTCTAGTAACAAGTGCCTTACTAGTAACAAGGACGCTCTAGTACCTGGTTGGATGGTTTGTCGAGGTGGACGAGCTCCAGGATTTGCTCCGAGACCCTGGTCTTCGGTGGCCCCACCTCGGCACCCGACGGCTTCGGCACGAAGCGTTCGGGGTCGCATCTACACGGAGTGCTGCTTTGCTCGGACGCTGGGAGGAGATGATTGATAGGGATGATTTTGGTGGGAGAGAGGATGAGAGAGGGACGGAGTTGTGGATGTGATGTGCCGAGCAAGCTTCAGAATTAGATTGGTTTGCAGAAGTATATAGCTCTTTCTTCTTTGGGCAGCTCGGGGGTCTAATAGTCTAGGGGGACGACGTGCAACCAAAAGTACTCGCAGTAGCCGAAGGATGGTCGCAACACGGACACCTGAGCTAGCTTTTGTGTCAGGTGTATGAACCGATCCCTCGGGTTGAACACGACTGATTAAGTACAATTGGAGCATACAACATGTATAAAGATGTTTAAAGGTTATACAAAAAGCAATTCATCAAACATTTGTGTCCAAAACCGTTTACCATGGGAAAGAAAGTGCCTGCCACGATAGGCCGGCCATGTCCAAGATATTTGTGGACCTGGCCTGGTCGACTATCCTCACAAGTTTGCGCGTTCCAGCGGATTCCGGGATACTTTTGAAAAGGGTCATGAGGTAATTGCCTTGTCTTCTCTGTGCTCGGATCGTTTGAGCTTTTGCATCATGCGGGCTTTTGTTAGTTTTTTGGTTCTGGGTGGTCTTCCATCGGTCAAGATGGGCCATGGGCCATAGAGCAGAAATTTCCAGTAGCAAGCTACCCAGCCATCTTCAAACAGGAAACATGACACTTGTTCACTATCAGATGTTTGGGCATACCAGCTTTGCTCGTGTAGGAACATCTTTGTGACGGATCAGAGGTTGCTGATTGGGGCTTCCTCATTAACCACAAGAGCCATTGGACCAGATATTCATGCACTGGGCGACCCAAGCCTACGGATACGGATACGGATACGGTGATCCAGTAAATAGAAGGCTAGTAGCTTCTTGTTACCAGTAGCAATGGCCTCCAACCTACTTGCGATGGCCTCCACCTTATAGCGTCCTTGCTATGTTTGTGTATTGCCATGTTCACCAACCAAGACGCTGGACGACGATCTCCACCTTCGCATCGAAGAAGCCGGCCAGGCCTCAGAGACGTTGAGGGGAAAAGGGCCGAAAAGGGCAGTGAACCCAAACAGTGTTATTTATTTATAAATATAACATGTTCTTTTTTGGCGGACCTCCTACTTAACTAAGTAGGTGCCTACTTAATGATCATATGAAGTAAGGGAGCAAGCTACTAGCAATAGAAAGCTCCTAGCTAGGACGCAGGATAGCTCACGCTTCTTCAAGGAAGCTCCCCCCGCCTGAGGGAGGGGGAGCTTCCTTGAGGGAAGCGCTCGCACTAATGATTTGGTTCCTAGACCTTTTAGGGAACTTAACCTCAAGTGAACTTCTGCACTCTAAAGCACGTACATGAGAGCACACACATTGAAAGGAGCAAGCATGTGAGAGCACACAAGTGAGAGCACACAAGTGAGAGCACACAAGTGAGAGCACAAATACCTAAGAGACACTGGTATGTAAACTCAACAGATTTCCGTCGCTTGATGTAGCTGTAGTCGTTGAGAAATAGAACTCAAAACTGCCTCTTCACTGGTTTGACTGCCACTTTGGACCTTCACTAGTGCAACAAGAAAGTGTGCAAACAAATACCCACGGTACATTCATGATATCATGAGTTATCATGGCTCTTGCCATGTCAGATCTACTTGAATTTCACAAAGAAGCAAGCAGGACTCAGGAACTCGTAGTTTGTGATCTATGCCTCCGTTCACCGGATTTCAGGTTGGCCAGGTGAACCGTGACTGTGAAAACTCTCCGTGAGCTCCTCTCCGTCCACCCCGAGGTGAGGGATATGGACGCCGACGCTGCGGAGCACTGGGTGGCCAAAGTGCTCAAGGACCGACACCGAGGTGCAACATGCGCAGTTTGGACGGTGCGACGCCAGTGGTGACTGGACGGCGCCACGTGAAGCCTACATGATGGGAAACCCATCTGACACTAACACACGCTCCAACCTCATAGCGTCCGTGAATTGGGTCTTTGGGTCAGTGACTGCATCAAGAAAAGGTTGAACGCCACTGCATGAACTGGAGCATGTGACACAACATCACCCGCTCTCCTAGTGGAACGCTCCTTTATCCACGCACAAGGAGGAGGGCTTTGATACGGTGGTCCAGATGAACGTGAGCGGTCGTTTGCGGGCGCGGCACGTGGATGGACCGCAGCTGGTCCGGCTGAACTTGTACAGTCTCATGGTCGTCTATGGGGTGACCGAAGGAGCTAGATTGCTTTCAGGGATATTGCTGGTTGAAAAGTTGAAAAGGATTGAAAAGGGACATTATAGGGGGACGGAGAGTTGGGGAATACGGAATACGGGCGTACCGCACATCATTGCAGATTGCCCATGTGGGTGGTTTTTCCACCAAGGACTTCTTCAATACTTTCGGCCTTCTCCATCTGGCATCCCAGGACCAGCAGAAGCCTTGGCCCATCGTTTGGAAGCTTTGGATCGCTTCGGCCGCCGCTTGTCCACTGGCACGCAGGGCTGTGACGAGGCAAGCAGCGGTAGTGGCAGTGGCGGCGGCACCGGTGCTCGTGGCTGTGAGGAAGAGCAGAGCAGCCATGGGAGCAGCGGTGCGCAAGGAGAGATGCGAACGTTCAGAATTTGCACATGGGTCCTGTTTAAAATGAAGAAGAGGTGTTATTTGAAGAGAAAACGTGGCCAAAGCTGCCGCATCGTTCCGACTAAGGAAATTCCGTGGGGATTAAAAACACATTCCTTGGCTCAGAATGCCCAATCTCTGGCAAATCTACTGAAGTAGGGGCTTCAGCTTCTCCTGTCTCGAAGCTGCCTTGGTCGCGTTTTTTTTTTCAGGATGTGAAGAGCCTCAGAAGACTTCTCGGCCACTTTGTGAAAGCAGAAAAGGTCAAGGGCAGGCACAACTAACACCATAACAAGTTATAAGTATCCTAAAGACTTTGGCATTTTTGAGCAG